TATATATATTGTTCTTAATATTACATTGTTTCATTAAAAAAAATGACATAATACTAATAGAATATATATATATCATAAATAATAATTGATAATCATAGTAAGTATATGACTATTATCATTATTACATTACACGATACTAGCAGCAGCACTATTATTATTTTTAGTAGTGGTGGTCGTAGTGGTGTTAGTATCGGTAGTGGCAGCTCTGGTAGGCCTACTAGTAGTAGTGGTAGTAGTATTAGTAGTGGTAGTAGTAGTGGTAGTAATAATAGTAGTAGTGGTGGTGGTGGTGGTGGTGGTGGCGGCGGCAGCAGCAGCAGTAGTAGTGATAGTAGTGTTAGTAGTGGTAGTGGTGGTAGTGGTAGTAGTGCAGAGATCCCAATTCTCCCGAGAATTGCGGGTTTCTCCCGATTTTTGAGGCCGTCTCCCGCCCTCCCGATTTTTATTAATATCTCCCGATTTTTTTAAATATCCCGAAAATTTCACGAAAAATGTGATTTCCACGATGTCATAGAGCAATGAAACAAATTTCTTATCTTAAGCCAATATACTATGGCGCTCGCTCAGCCATAAAATGTCATAAACAAGGCCAGGGAGTTGTTATTTAAGTTGTTTATCAAAATAACAACTCAGGGCCTTGTTTATCCTCCATGTTACGATCCGCCTTGTTTATCCTCCATGTTTACGATCTTTTGCATCCAGTGCCGGCCGACCTCATTCAATGAGATGGATGTCAGTTGAGTAAATAAATTTCAACAAATAGTAACGAAATGATAATCATAGTAAGTATATGACTATTATCATTATTACATTACACGATACTAGCAGCAGCACTATTATTATTTTTAGTAGTGGTGGTCGTAGTGGTGTTAGTATCGGTAGTGGCAGCTCTGGTAGGCCTACTAGTAGTAGTGGTAGTAGTATTAGTAGTGGTAGTAGTAGTGGTAGTAATAATAGTAGTAGTGGTGGTGGTGGTGGTGGTGGTGGCGGCGGCAGCAGCAGCAGTAGTAGTGATAGTAGTGTTAGTAGTGGTAGTGGTGGTAGTGGTAGTAGTGGTATAGGTAGCAGTGGTATTATAGGTAGTAGTGGTAGTAGTGGCAGTAGTGGCAGTAGTGGTAGTTGTGGTAGTAGTGATAGTAGTGGTAGTAGAGTGGTAGTAGTAGTAGTAGCAGCAGCAGCAGTAACAGTAGCAGCAGTGGCTGACCGTTAATTGGCAAGCAAGGTATGTAGTGCATACCCTGGCTAAAACTAATACAAATATATATAGTACAGTTTCTCCGTTTTATTTAGCATTCCTTAGTCAGGATCTTCTATATACATCCTCATTTTTTGAGTGGAATGCTATTCATTGGAATAGAAAAGTTTTTCGATGTTTGGCCTACTTTGGTACCTACGATAAGTCACAGTCGGTCCTATCGCATCGTACTTATAATTTTCGCATCGCTGGTCTTCGATATCAGCCCATCACTTATCCGGTGAATCAATGTTAGTCAGAGAACACCCCACAACGCTTAATATGTGACAACCGTGCGGTGGCGTCAGAATAGCCAATTTAACACTGGATGGAAGCAGTGCTTCCAAGAGTATGTGAGCATGCTCTTCTCACAAATCGGGACCTCCACTGCCGATCATTCTATCTATAAGGCTAATCTGAATCGATTAAAGTTTAAACTTTACCTATCACTAGCAGGCTCAAGCATCAGTGGCCAGTCTTGAAATGGAAGGGAGCTGATGGTGTTAGGAAGGTAAAGTGGGGGGATTGGTGATTATGAGGGTATAACTCGCAAAATAAGGTGATATGAGGTGATTTTTTTAATTACTTGAGCATGATTTGCGGGGGGGGGGGACTAGGGGATGGGCGAGTATTTTTTTCAGGGGTACGGGAGGACCGCGGCCCCTTGTACATCCTAGATTATGCAATACCAAGCATACCCTACAATTCACCCTACTGTCTGCAACTGAGTAGTAGTAGTAGTAGTAGTAGTAGTAGTAGTAGTAGCAGCGGCAGCAGTAGTAGCAGCAGCAGTAGGAGCAGCAGTAAATATCCTAACAATTAGTAGTAATATGTGTAATGTCATGTGTTTACCTGCCAACCACTCTTGCACCGACAGACATTCGGTCCGACACATGTACCGTGGATCGAGCATCCGTAGGAGCATATATGTTGAGAACAGTCTTTCCCTGACCATCCTGGATCACATCTGCATCTTCTACCCCAACACATACCATTACCCATACAATTATTAGGACATAGATTTTCTAAAATCATATTCGAAGATAAATGGTGCATATCAGTTCAGATACAATGTTGCAACTTTCAGGATTGCGTAAAACAGATAATAATTATAAAACATAAATATTTTAGTATTCAAATTCATAATTTCATTAAGTAAGAGACTAATAGCAAAGGGAGCAGACCCCTGTACAAAGTACCGCATACAAAGCCATTGGTATCCCACTGAAACTCCAAACTACTACTCACCTTACTCCCACTCATCTCAGATCTAATAATACCATTCCCCTCGAATTCAGACTTCAATTTCAATTCTACTGTCTTCTCCACAAACTCTTCGGCAGTGCAAAAATTACCAACGGTGATGTTCTCATTTCAAAGCTTAATCTAGAAATCTTTAAAACTTCATTCAGCTATATAGCTCCCTACATCTACAATTCATTTCCATCGATTGTACGTTTTGCTTTTTCTTTCCCTTCTTTCAGATTTTTTCAAATTTTCTTTCATTCTAATTTTACAGTTTTCCAACACAGTGTCTCTTATTAAATGTGCCCTTTCTCCCTCAGGATAATTTCACTGTTTTCTTTAATGTGTTAATTATATTTTCATTTTGTAAATTAATATTTATTATATTTCCTTTATTCAGTAATCTACTTTTTTCAGATTTTATCTAAAAAAAATCTACTAATTTTTCAGATTTTAATCTTCTCTGTTCTAAGTTAATTAATTTGTTAATTTTCATTCTTTTATTCTTTTGTCTTATAATGTACGTACTGAGGGTTCCAATTGATCAGATCAGGTTAGATAGACCACCTCATAAAATATTGTTGAAATAAATAAATAATCCAGAATAGCACAACATTAATAGTAATATTGATAATAAATTATACTAAGTTAATAATCAATACATACGTAAAATAGAATATGTAAATAAATGAGTAATGCATAAATCAGTAAATAAATAAGTGAAGTATGATTCAAGATGTACAAAAACAAATAATCAGATTTCAATGTTTTACTTGTGGTACGTTCGCAGACAGTAGGATATCGCTCCTTGCAATCAGTCGTCCCAGTGATGTGTTTACCACTTCCATAGTCCAGTTCTAAATATGAACACTAACCAGAAAAATAGTTCCATCAGTAAATTTGTCTTAATTTTCTCATTCTTATCATTGGTTCAGTTGATTGAATGTTAGTTATATAATATAAATGATTGCAATACCTTATTTGTTTGAAAGCGATTCATAATCCAGATGCGACTTGTTTCGAAATATCCCCCGTTTTTCATAATTAAATATCTTTTTAGGTCTTTAACATCCGATCCACGGTAACGAAAAATGCAATTAGGACAAAAGAAATTTGCTAGCTGATATATTGTGTTCCCTTCTAACTAAAAAAAAACAAACAAAAAAACAAACATTAATAACATAAAACATGTATTATATACTGTATGTACAATGTGATTTTAAAGCATTAGGGAAGAATCTCAGAAACAGCAAGAGATATTACAATTGAAACATTCAGAAGAGGAATGTGATAACATAGGGAGAACTAATTAAACTCAGCCTCCACAGTCGGAACAATGACATGCCGCCTCTCGCTTCCTTTGGTGTGAAACACAAAAGGGATAACTAAGGACTGTTCTAAGGCTTTTCAAATAGGTCGGTGATGTACCAAAAAACAATCCACTACTCTGTTGAAAGAGTGTACTGTGCTCTTTAACGTACATATGGCCCATGTTGCACACGAAAGGAAAGGCATTTACGCCTTTTCCTAAAGGCGGTACAGTAATTTCAGCTCTCTCACTGAACCATTAAGAGAACAGCGATAGAGTTGCTCTAAATTAAGATCTTTATGATTTAGAGCACAAAATTACCATTTTATTGTCTAGTCTAATACTATTATACTACTTACTCTGCAAATTAACATTGCCGTTGAAAAATCGACTGAAGCTGGTTTGTAGCTGTAGCATTTTGATCCCTCTAAGGTATACGCCGGTGGACATAATGCTGTAAATTAGAATAAAATCGCAATTGATTTTATCCCTTATATTTTGGTCTTACTTTCATCATCGCCAAGATTGATTTATTGATTATCTAGCATTGGTGCCTGATTACACATAATTTAACGTATCATAAGACTTGAAAATTAAGAAAATGTTTAACAGACAATAGGACAGGTTAATTAATACAAATCAAATTTTAAACTTACAGCTATAAAATGGTACCTCAGAGGGTGAAGTAAAGAACGGTTCTTGTTGTATGAACGCATGACCAATTATGTTCTTGGAATCCCGAACCCTACTTTTAACATAAAAAATGTCGTCTGCACCCCACCAGTTGTATGTAGCGTCTACTGTTGACTTTACGCGTGAAGTAAGTGCCACTTCAAATTCATTACCAGCGTTTAATATGTAATTTCTAGATATATTAGTGTTAATATTATCTAATAACATGGTAAATCTTTCGTCTGAACGTTGTCCTGTGTTGTAGATCATGATGTTGCGCTCGATAAGTCGGCTACCATAGTTAATGTCTCCTAAGACAAAAATTAGATGCCGTCCGTGGTTGTAACAAAACACATTGTTAGTGACACATGTGTTTCCTCCCATTATGGTTACTACATCGTTGTTGGCAGATGGTTTATTGTAGTAAAATTGGTTACCAGTTATCCAAATTGGTGAGAATTCACTTTTGACTGACAATACACCACCTTCTGTATTAGAAAGGAAATAATTATGTGCAATTGTCACTATGGAATCAGTTGATATTCCGTGAATGGCCACATCTCCATAATTTCCCACGAAGAGGTTTTCTGTAATTGAACAGTTCCCGTTCCTCTGGCTCATTATCTTATTGCTGGTTTGGGAACAGCTTTGAAAAGTAGATTTTGATATGCTCACATCAACTGGAATTGTCTCATCAATGTAATCATCCACAATAGATACAACTGAACCCATAACGTTTATGAAATTCGAATCTTCTATTGTAATTGATGACTTGAGAAGGTATTCTATAATATAAAAAAAAAAAACAATCTTTAATGAAAGTAGTATATAAAAGATTACAAAATATGTATTTTATGTACTCTATTTGTCTTGTCAATATTGTGGTTTAGGAGAAACATTATATCAATCTTTAGTAAAGTTTAGGTTTATTATTTGACACAGTGCCAAAAATGCATAAAGTATTGCCTACACATTGTACAATTAATATAGAAAATGATTACGTTTATCATAAACATCATGCAACGGGTTTCATTTCTAAAACGAGAGCATATTGCAGTATCCCAATTTGTATTGACCAATGGGATGCACCAAAAAATTATGGTTTTATGTCTTTAGAACATGGTTCAGGTTGTCTTGTTAGCATTACCTTGGGCCATTAGAAATGCTAAACTCATAAGACAGTTTCACTTCAACATTACTCACGATATTTATTCGTAATGTTTAACTTCATAAAAATGTGTTGTACCAGAAGGTTGAACGAAACTAAATCAAACAGATCACAGTCGTACCGAGACGCGCGCATATATATTCTATATACATATATACACACACTCA